CTGCTGCGATCCTAGAGCAGGACACTAGAGGCGAATTCACGAGGGGCGATCACCACAGCAGCGATGACGACGACGAGGATTCCTCTAGAGAAGAAATGGGCGGAACAGGAGGAAGCGGTAGAGGCGCAGCGCCACCGGCACCACCTGAGCCTGAGAGTGACGGTGACGATGTGCAGGAAGTTATCCCACAGCATCGCCACGACAGCACCATCTCCGGGATGCAGCTGCTCGGGCTCCACAACGCAACCTCGAAGGCGCCACGTGTCATCGAGCCGAGAAATCAGTGCCAAGCCCTCACTGGACCACATAGCAAGGAGTGGCGAGAGGCGATGGATGCAGAGATCAAGGCACTTGAATCCAAAGACACCTGGGTGCTCGTCGACCGTGCAGCAATCAAGGGCGCAAGGGTCCTCTCTGGCAAATGGGTCTTCCGCGTGAAGACCGCAGCGGATGGCATAATTGAGCGATTCAAGGTGCGCTGGGTGGTGCGCAGCTATGACCAGAGGCACGGTATCAACTTTGACCAGACATTTGCGCCAGTCAGCCGTCACACCTCCGTCCAAACCTTGCTCGCCATCGCAGCTGCAAGGCACCTGCCCCTGCGCCAGATCGACGTGAAAAATGCGTTCTTATACGCGTTAGTAGATGCCGTGATCTACGTGGAGCAGCCGCACACGTACTGTGAAGGGGATTCACGCGTTTGCCAGCTGCGGAAATCCCTTCACGGGATCAAACATGCGCCGAGGCTCTGGCAGCAGTATCTGCACAACATTCTGCTTGAAATTGGTTTCAAGCAACTGCCTCACGACCCGAAGATGTACCGCCGTGATTTCCGCGGCGAATACATCCTGCTTACGGTCTACGTTGACAACCTCCTCTACATAAGGTCGAGCAACGAGCTGCTCGAACAGTTCGAGAGGAATCTGGCGGGGCGCGTCGACATTACCTGCAACTACGAGGTGAAGCAGTTCTTAGGACTTAATATCTCCTACACGCCAGAAGCTATCCACCTCTCAGCAGCTAAGTACACAGAGGATCTTGGGAAACGCTTCAACATTTCGCCTGCACCTCTCTCCACTCCTTACCACACTCCCGGATCGAACCACAAATCTGACAACAAAGCCCTATCCCCCGCTAGTATTCAGACTTATCAACAGCAGCTGCGATGCCTGCTCTTCGCCTCTGTCACTTGCAGGCCTGACCTTTCCTACATCGCGAGTCAGTTGGCCCAGTACTCTCGCAATCCAACGGCTGAGAACCTTCTGATCTGCAGCGCGCTCTATAGTCGTTTGTTTCAACGCCCAAGATCGGACTCTGTTACTCAAAAGTGCCGACCCCATCCTTTAGCCTCATCGGCTACGTGGACTCTAATCACGCAGCAGACCCCGACAATCGACGGTCCAGGACTCGCTTCCTGTTCCGCCTCGAGCCGACGGGACCAATCTCATGGAACTCGCAGAAACAGGAGCTGGTTGCCCTGTCATCGGCCGAAGCAGAATTCATCGCAGCAACAGCAGCAGTTCGCCAAGGCTTTTACTTGCAGGAACTCCTGCAGGAGGCGAAAATTCCAGTTTTGCCCATCTTTCGCCTACACTGCGACAACCAGAGCGCAATCCGCATCGCAAACAAACCCGGATTCGTCAACCGCACCAAGCACATTGCACTGCGGTACTTCTTCGTCAAGGACGAAGTGGACAAAGGCAAGGTGGACTTGACGTACTGCCCAACGGGTGACATGGCAGCAGACTTCCTCACGCAACAACTACCACACCAGCAGTACAAGCACTGCTCCGAACTCACCGGAGTGGTCAAGTAGGTCAAGTCGAGCTACGGTCAGGAGTGAAGGGGGATGTTACGAATAGTGAAATACTATTGTGCACTCCTAACCGTAGCTATGTGAACCACGCACTATCGAGAATGAACGCGAAGAGTCAGAGTTGACTCGAAGCGACGCAGACGGTTGGAACGGATCTGGACCGTCGGAGCAGACGACATCGGGCAGCTGCAGGAGCGAGGGAATTGGCGGGAACAGTTTCGCAATTGTACGCATCACACGGTTGGTTTGAATTCGAATAAGGGAATGTACCCCTTAGAGTACATGGCTAGCTAGGTCGTTTCATATTCCCCCTGTACTACTACTTATACTCTCTGTATTTGCATGTTTTAATCATCTCAAACATTTTGCATTCACTCTGCTATTGAGGTCAAGGGCCCACCACTACTCAAACGTGTGCGAACCTTCCCGAGGTGATCCTAGGGTCGATCATTCTCTGATCGTAACATAGGGCCTCCACACAGAGGACACTACCCTCCACCCCGACATCATTTCTCTCACTGTCCACCAAATCAACGTCCATCTCTCCACGGAAGAAGCTGTACGAAGCAGGATGACATAGGCTTGTGTCCGTTGTAACGCCACTCCGATGAGCATCAGAGACCCAAAAAGATAAGCCGAAAACGAAGTGTCATCCTCTCGACATGCCCACCGTGACACATCTAGCCCTAAGTGCGCGTCCCCTTGCTGTCGAAGCCACCGCAAAAAACGACCACCTAAACAACCCAACGTCTCTACTATAAGAGGGGTGAACTGCGCGCCCCGATTGCGTGCAACTCGAGGCGCGTAATCACCCATCTTACGACGCTCCCACGCCCTTGCCACCACTCCTATGGAACGCACGCATTGTTCTAGCAGAGATGGAGAGAGCGACAGCGGGTCCGCTGTCAGAGGTCTACTGGTGATCCCCGATTGATCCTAGGGAAGGGTTACAGGCATGTTGGCCTGGGGGTTATGGGCGCACTGACCCGCTACTTAACAAGCCCTTTTATCCCAATGGTCTAGTGGTTGGGATTCTGAAATCCGCGACGCTGATCTCTATAATGTGAGCCTCTCCGACCGTCGGTCGTCGCATCGCTACATCAACCCGCTTCCCTTGACAACACCATGCTATCATCTATTATCACCACCGCATCTGTGCCTTAAAGATCCACGCCACCGCAAACTTCACCTCATCATGCACCCGAGATGGACCGTGCTGGTGTTTGTATCGTAGGGCATGATGTGGGTCCGCTGGGTCATCATACGCTGTGCCACAAACACACTGCCCCGCCACCTGCAGCTGCTGAATTGGGAGTCCGAGCCGCATAGCAGCCGCAAGGCCCCACTCACCCCCACTTGTATTCTAATAGAGAGTACCCATAGCATATTGATAATTGTAGCCAGTGTCAATCGTGTTACTCGTGTGAGAATCTCCCACATAAAATTTTATGTTTGATTGTTTGCTGGACGTGGAAGATAAGCTCCTTTGACAAAAGCATCCCCCCTTCTACCCCGGCCACTCTCCTTCCTCCCCCCAACATCATCCCGAAGTGGCCCAGTCAAGTAAGATGGGACTTCCGAAGGATGAGATTCCAGGTTCAAACCCCAGTGTCGGCGAGTTCTGCCAGCCCCCCAGAAGGGGGTTTCGTACTGCTCATCTGGGAGTGGATATTCCTTACCTCGATACCCAGCGAGTCGTGTAAATAAGTGGGTAAGGGAATTACGATCGACAGCCGGGGTAATACCAAGGGGGGTTTCCCCTTTAACTTTTACATTTACCTCCCCCCAGCACCAACTGTGCCCCCCAAGCCCGCAACTCACATTTCCTTGCACAATTCATGTGAAAATCATGAAGATGGAAAATATTGTTATGGTTACCACTACAGAGGAGAGTGCGCAGAATGCAATATCGCGAAAGTGACTACAACGTCTAAGCAAACATTGAGGCCTAGGACTAATATAGCAATGCTAGCTAGGCCAAGGCCGCGGAGTCGCGAGATGGTTGTGTGCAGGTTCGGGGTTGGGAAACCCGAAGGCGACGCGATGGTGGTTCGGAGGGCAAGGTCGTCGGACCGAGCCTGTTCTCCGGAAACTGGAGTTGTACGCGTGTTTAGTGTGACCCATTAAGGAATCTCGGAAAATTCCTTAGGGCGTGTCCAGCGCGTACATTTTGGGAATATTAGTACCTTCACACGTTTCCCGGCTCAAAAAATCTCACTGTACCAAAAAACGAATATAAGGTGAGTCGAGTCCGAAGGATTGGGCCTTCCAGCGCGCGGACACAACCCTCTGCACACAAATTTCTACAGTTCGTGGAAAACGAGGTAACTGGTTGCCTCGTCTATCATCGCACAGAAATTCACGCACAAGCGAAACTTCCACGCTTGAACGAAAATTACTGTAGCGGGCAGGACGCAATGCTGTACCCTTGTTCGCGCGCACACTGATTCCAGTAACGTGTGTTAGACGATTCGTCGTACGCGCAGCGGGCGTGCCGTCTTGTGAACGGAAGCTGATCGTGTCCAACCTTTTTGTAAAATGCAGTGTTACAATAGGAAATGTGGTAACTGAATGGGTTTATGAACTCTAAATGTACGCGCTGGACACGCCCTTACAATTTTTGTGTAGCGAGAAAATGAGCACCCCCACACCACACCCACTCCACTCCACTTCACCTCCACTCCCAGCTCGAGAGACCCAGTCATGTAGTTATCTCTACAGTTTTAGGGTTGGCCGCATTAGCACCACTACACAATTCTCTCGTCCATATCTCCGCATCGCGCGCCCGCCACCTGCATTTGGTACTATATTTCCACCGAGCCTCTGCTACCGACTTTTTTAACGAAAACCGTTGTGCTAGGAGCCCACCTGAACGTTTAGCCCGCTGCCATTGCCGTCCCTAGGACCGCCACCCTGTTGGCGGTAAGTTGCGGCTTCAGCATCAGCAAGGGACAGCGGCATTTGTACTGCGCGATTCGGTTACACTGGAAGAAAGACAGTCCATTTGCGATTTTCCCGCATCTCTTTTGTCAGCGGGCAGCCTTGCAAAACACGCTTTTTATTTTCTTTTTCAATCTGGCTGAAATTGACGGGAAGTCGGGGACAAGCGTCCGATTCGCGAGCCGTTGGCCGTCGCGTCTTCTTAAGGCTTCGTTAGTAGGTTCTTCGACTGTAGCGCACTGTTATGGCGAATCGTCGCAAGTCACTCGAGGTGCCAATCCTCGTGCACAACCGTCCATCTCTCGCCAGCAACGGTCTGAATAGCGTCGGTCGCGCTGCCGCGCCGAGATACGGAGACCGGGAAGACGGCGATTGGCGTAGGCAGGAGCAGCAGCAGCTACAACAGCAACAGCAACAGCAGCAGCAGCAACAAGCCCGGGACAGAAACGAGGAGCCGCAGCAGCGGTGGCAGCCGGCTCAGCAACCGGCCGTTGCTGACGGCGACGACTATTACGACGGCGGCGGCGGTCGCGCGTCCGGCGAATGCGATGATTTAGCTAGCAGCGGAGGCAGCGGCAGCAGCGACGCGTGGGAGGGCGCGGACGACGGGTACGACGGCGAGCGGGATCCGCGCGCTTACGCTGACGGCGACTGGCGCGCACAACAGGGCGGAAGAGACAGCATAGCCCGCGGGGACTTGGGGATGGGCGGCGGAGCCGGAGGGGAGACGCGGGGAACGGGGGGAGGCGGCCGCGGCGGCGGCGGCGGCGGCGGCGGCGGCGGAGGCGGGGGAGGTGATGACGGGGACGCGCGGGGCGGTGGAATGGGGGCGGATTATATGGATGGCGCGGACGGGGAGGGGGAAGGCGGGGAGGCCGACATGAGCTGGGTGCGGTCCGTATCCGGGCCTGATTCGGACGATACTGTGTGGGTGAAGATTGCACTCGTTGGGGACCCGGATTGTGGCAAGTCGAGCTTCATGGTGCGTGCTGGGCTGTGCGTGCGTGCTGGTGGGTATGGTATGTGCGCATGGCATGTGGGCATGTGTCATCAACCATCCACATGCGCATTAACGCCTCACATGCGCATCAACCACCCACGCGCATTGCATTGCATTGCATGCGTCCACCCCACCTTTCCAGGCCCGTTTATTCGAAGAATCCGACAGCGATCTCAGCGCCAGCAGCGGGACCGGCAACGGCGTTGCTAGCGCGCCAGCCAACCGCAGCAGCAGCAGCAGCAGCACGAGAGGCAGCGGGCGGGGCAGTGGTGGTGGGAGTGGTGGTGGCAGTGGGGGTATACCGGTTGACGGGCTGGCAAACGGGCAAGGGCAGACGAGTGGCGGCGGCGGCGGGGGAGGAGGGGGAGGGGGAGGAGGCGGAGGAAGGGGAGGGGGAGGAGGGGGAGGAGGGGGAATGTGGTCAGCAGCGTATGCGCCGACAGTGGGAGTAGAGTGTCACCATCACAGCATCGCGCTGCCAGCCTCCCCCACCCCTGCCACCATCGCCATTACCTCCTGGGAACTCTCAGGTGCTCAGGCGCACTTCCTCGCATCCCTTGATGTTGTGCCATGCTGTGTCGAGTTGAGCCTTGCTGCGCCGTGTCGCGTCAACCCCTGTCGTGTCGTGTCGTGCCCCCAATGCTGCCCCTCCCTTCCCCTCCCCCTCTTCTCCTTCCCCCCACCCCGTGCACACGCCACGCCAGGCCGCCGCCAGTTCGCATCGTTGCTGCCCTTTGTGTGCAACGATGCGGCAGCGCTGCTCCTCTTCTTCGACCTCACTCGCCCCTCCACCCTCCGCAGGTACCTTGCCTGCTACCTCTCTGCCTGTCTGCATGAAATGAGCCGTGTTTTGAGTCGACTCAAAATCCGCGTGAGATGAGCCGTGCTTTGAGTCGACTCAAAACATCACTCACTTGCCTGCTACCTCTCTGCCTGCCTTCCTGCCTGCCTTAATGTAGCCTGAGATGTTTTTTTTTGTAGCACGTGCTCGCCGCAATGTAGACTCAGACGTAGTAGTAGAAGCATGCTGCTTTTGGGGCGCCTCAAAATGATCACACGAATCTCACTTTTGAGGCACCAAAAAAACTCGTCTCACTTTTGAGGCGCTTAAAGAGTCGCTGCACTTCACCACTTCACCACTTCGCTCAAAGCATGCGCGCCTCTATGCAGTCAGAATTGTATGTGAAAGGACTCTTCTGACATCACAGGCACTACGCCCCTCAAGCAGCACACGCTTCTCTCGGCCTCCTCCTTTATATTCACCGGTTCAAATCCCTCATTACCCCTCTTCAACCAACCCGTCTCCTCTCCCTGCCCCTATTTCTCACCTCCTCTCACCTTCTCTCACTTCCGTCCACATCGCAGCATTCAGTCATGGTACTTAGAAGCCCGGGCCCTCAACCAGGTATTATACCAACCAACCATCCCACATCCCCACCCTCTTGCTTGTCCCCATCCCCTTCATGTGTGCTCTGCTGCCACTCATCTTCACCATGGTCGCTTTCCCCTCACATCCTTGTGTGTTTCACCTTTCACCCCGCCTTCATGCGCACGCACATGCTCGTGAGAAAAAACTCAAAAAGCATCTACTCCACGGCACGGTCCACCCCAATTGGCCTTGGCGGCTCTTCTGTGTCGTGTCCCCCCTTGTTCCATTGTTCCGTGGTCTCATCGGTCTTGAGACGCCTCAGAACTTCTGTCAGAGGTCATGACTGCTACATGTCGCCTTGTTTCGTTTCTCCCTGGTTGCACTGTCTTCCCCATCCCTCGGTGCCCCGCAGTGTGCTCTCCCTGTGCTCGTGGGCACCAAGTTTGACCTCTTCTTGCTGCAACCACAGGAGACGCAGCACCGAGTTACCAAGCAGGTACATGTGTGTGTATGGGTGTGGGTTTGTGTGTATTTTTGTGTGTGTGGGTGTGGGTGGATCGGTGTATGCGTGTCTTATGCATGTGAACAAGAGTGTGTTCGCATGCAGGTTCATCCATGCAGGCCCATGCATGCATGCATGCATCTACATGCATCTCTGGTTGCACAGACGCAGCAAATATGTACTCCTTGTAAGCACCCCCTTTCTTTTTTCTAATGTTCTTAGCGATTGCTCAACTTGAGCGGTAATGTGACCTGCAAGCCTGTTTTCTGATTGGCTCTTCAGCATAAACATCAACAACCAATCATTCTCACCAGGTACCCTTTCCCGTGTACCCTTTTCCAACCGTCCTCTTCCCCTCCTCTCCCACGATCCCACTCCACCCCTTCCCCCCACCCCACCTTCCTTCCGCCCAATCCCGACTCCCCGCTCCCCCCTTCCTATCAGGCAAAGCTGTGTGCGAGGGCCATGCGCGCCCCTCTCGTGCTCTGCTCTGTGCCGCACAGAGTGAACGTGCACAGAGCCCTGCGCATCATCCTCTCGCGCCTCTTCAGCCTTCCAGCACCACATCAACCGTGCACCACCTCTGGGGAGCCCCTCCTCTTCCCATGACTCTCATGCGTCTCGCGGGAAGGAATATCAAGTGTTGAGGCGCCTCAGGAGTCACCGTGATCTCACCATCTTTTGTTTTGAGGCGCCGCAAGAGTCATCTCTCTATCTGCAATCTGGACGCGCTTCAGATGCCTTCTCGTTTCCCCTAAAGCCTTCTGGGCGTCTTGTGTGCTACTGCTGCTGCTGCTGCTGCTGCTGCTGCTGCTACTGCTGCTTCCGAGAAGAGATCCTGAAGGCATTTGCGCAAGTCCTTCTCTTCCCACCCATCCCTGCTCACAGCACCACCTCTCCTCACCACCATCAGGAACACAAACTGCTGCTGCTCCCCACCCAATCACTCCAAACCCCCCGCACATACGTTGCCATAATTAGTATAGTGAAAGCTTCAGCCCACCGCTTCCATTTCTCCTCCCTCCCTCCCTGTGTCCTGTCCTCTCTTCCTCTCTACCCTGCATCCCTTAATCCTTTTCTTCCTTCCCCTCGTTTCAACCCACCTCAAGTATGCACGCCTATGTGTAGAATATTCCAGCCATCCCAGCACGATTTGCTACATTTATCCCAGCGCTCCCAATTCGATTGTGAAAAGGCTAAGCAAGCACTCTCATATGGAGGCTGTGCATTTGTTCACATCCTTTGTTTGTTCATTTGTTACATGGTAACATGATGGAATGAGGCAGAGGGAGGCTGTATGCTTGGGGGTCCCAATGCACTGCCTGCCTATCTGTTTCTGTTCCGGCCATCATTCCACCCTCGTCCGTGTTCCTTTTCAAATTTGGTTTTCAGTGCAATATCTGGCGCATAGGCACCTTGCTTATGATTCTTTGCAGAAGCATGTAATCAAGGCGGTTTCATATTGCTTAAAATTACGGTAGGTTTTTTACCTTGGCTAGCTGGGGGTTCAGGATTTTGGTAGAAAATATTGTACCATTCCTGTGATTTCAGTGCGCAGCGCATCATCAGAACGCAGTTTATAATACCGGCTGTCGTAGTACCGCATTTGCGACAAGTGACAGTAAACAAGAAACTGAAAAGTGGCCCGCGGGTGAGACTTCCACGACGATACGACAATAACCTTACTGACTTTCGGTACGACCCTCTGTAAGTTTACCCATATTATCAACCTCAGCAAGGTACATACATTTACACACCAGGGTTCTGAAACTATATACCACAGCAATCACTGTATAAAGATGACATACCCGCCAACCTCGCTCACCACCACTTCTTTTCCTGCCTCTTGGCAATCTCGGCTGCAAGCTTGGCGAAATCGGCAGCCCCTGCATTGAGATCCTCTGCATCTGATGCCAGTTGCTGCACAGAGCGGGCAAAGAGACAGCAATGGGCAATGGGCAGTGGGCACATGAAGTAGTATTTTGAGGCGCCTCAAAAGTCAACATCGGCAGCTCCTGCATCGAGATCCTCTGCATCTGATGCCAGTTGCTGTGCAGAACGGGCAAACAGACAGCAATGGGCAGCCAATACATGACGAACTGAACTGAGTCGCTTTTAAGAATTATCAAAAACGGGCAAACAGACAGCAATGGGCAGCCAACACATGACGAACTGAGTCACTTTAGAGAATTATAAAAAGCGGGCAAAGAGACAGCAACGGGCAGCCGGCACCTTTGAGAATTCTCAGAAGAATTGAGTCATGGAGGGGAGGAGTGTAGACAGCAATTTGGCAAGTGGTTGGTTTTACAGGTGAGTATGGAGGAGGTGGCGGGCGGCTAATTTTGTCTTACCTTGAGTTTCTCGCCCCGCATGATAAGCTTATCACGAGCATCTGCAGCTGCTGAAGCTGCATCCTGCACAACGGTTGAGAGAGTAGAGTGAGGGAGCAGAGAGCGAGGGAGTGCAGTGAGGGCATGCAGAGCGAAGCGGACACACGGAGGAATACCATGAGTGGCTATACAACGGCGCTGGTGCAACAACAGCAGGCAGTCAGTCGGGGTGTGGTAGAAACCACTTTAAATAGCACACAACCCCACCTCCTCGTCCCTACACCACACACAGGCCTGGTTGCCAACTCTCCCTGCCATCTTTCTTCCTGCCTTCCCAGCGACCACCTACCGTGCCCTGCTGCCTCTTGGGGTAACCATAGGCCGCTCTGATCTCATCAGCCGTTCTCGTTTTGGCCGGTGCACCACCCGACATCAGATCCGCTCGCATAGCCGCGGTCCCACTCGGCTTCCTCTCCTGCCACGACCCGCCAACCGGGGGCGCATCCCCCTGCCCTGCTGCTGCTGCTGCCGGTTTGCCGAATCCGAAGAGGCTGAATATGCCGGTGTCGGCAGCGGGTGCGGGGCTAGTGGGTGCGGATCTTCCGGATGAGGGCGTGGGAGTGGGACCAGTGGTGGTGGGTTCGATGACTAGGGGGGGTAGTCCGGTGGACGTTGTCAAAGGCGTGTGGGGTGCTGGAAGGGGGGTAAGGGAGATGGGAGGGGAGGAGAGGCGAGGCGAGGAGGAGAGGGGAGAAGAGAGGAGGGGATGGGAGGTGAGGGGCATAGAAGATAAGGGAGAGATTTTGAGGTTGGAGAAGTCTGATTGCAGGGAGAGAGAAATTAATGTACAATCCTTGTGAAACGTTTGTGCATGTAGTCGGGCAAAAACGGCAGGTGAAAGAAGGAAAAAGAGCAGCGACCGCACAAAGGAGAAAGAAGAAGCAGCGTGAGTACGGGTGGTGGGTGGGAAACACACATGGAGCCGGAGGATCGTCCATGTGAGGCTTGGAGAAGAGCAGGTCTTGGCCATCGGAGGGAGGGAAGGGCGCGGAGGCAAAGAGGGCCAGCAGCTCAGAGGACGTGTGGATGGTGGGCGCTGCTGGCAGCTGCAGCAGCGCCTTGCCCATCGCCTTCATATTCCCCAGGAAACCCTGATTGATAGGGAGGGAGAGGGGGAGGGGGAAAGGGAGGGAGGGAAGGAGGGAGGAAGGAGGTGGTGGGTGAAGAGCAGGAGAATTGGCAGTGTCGGCAGCGGCAGAGGTGGCGGCAGCGGCAGAGGTGGCAGCAGCGGGTGCCCCTGGGTCATTTGCCCCAGCACATTGTTGCGATTTAAGAAACTCCTCACTGGAGTTCGTACTATTTAGCGTAGAGAGCAAGTCACTCTGGAAATCAGGTCAATGTTGTGGTGGGGACACAAGAGAAGGGAGTGGGGGAGTGAAGCGAAGAGCCACAGCAGTGCAGCGCTTGAGACATGACGTCTCGTAAAAGAACAGTCATCTTTTTGGGACTGCGGAAGAACGAATGAGGAAGAACGAATGAGGAAGAACGAATGAGGAAGAACGAATGAGGAAGAACGAATGAGGAAGAACGAATGAGGAAGAACGAATGAGGAAGAACAAATGAGGAAAAACGAATGAGGAAGAACGAATGAGGAAGAACGAATGAGGAAGAGCGAATGAGGAAGAACGAAAGCGGAAGAGCAGAGCAGCAGGTGGGAAGGGAGAGTGCGGTGCAGGCATAACAAGGAGGCACAGAGGAGGGTGCGGTTCAGGGGGAGAGCACGTGCCTTGAGCTTGGCCTTGGCAATGTTGGCTGTGATTTGAGCACCTTTCTCTGCCCCAGCTGCTGCCGCTGCCGCTGTTGCTGCTGATGAAGCTGGATGATGCTGTGAGACTGGGGATGCGATGGTGGGCACGTGCAGGCGCGGCAGCGATCCTGGCAGACTGCAAGAAGAAGAGGAGAGAGGGAGGAAGGGGAAGAAGAGGGGAGGAAAGGGGAGGAGGGGGAAGGAGAGAAGTGAGAACAGGGGTGGGAACCAGTGGGGAGAAGAGGGGGAAGAGTACGTAAGGGAAGTTGGGAGAAGAGGGGAATGGAGTAATGGGGTAAAACGGTACAGAGAAAGGGAGAAAATGGGTGAGGCTAGTGGGAGCATGGAAGGGGAAGAGAGGGAGCAAGAGCAAGGACAAAGATACGGGTGGAAACGGGTAGCAGGGGATAGTGATAAAAAGGTGGCAGAACGGTTCAGAAAAACGGGAAGCCGGAAGGAGCAGGGGTGCGGTAGAAGAGGAGGAGGGGGGACGGAGGAGGGGGGACGGAGGAGAAGGGGCAGGAGGAGGAGGAGGAGGAGGAGGAGGAGGAGGAGGAGGAGGAGGAGGAGGAGGAGGAGGAGGAGGAGGAGGAGGAGGAGGAGGAGGAGGAGGAGGAGGAGGAGGAGGAGGAGGAGCAGGAGGAGGCGGAGGAGGAGGTAGAGGAACTAGCAGCGTGTAGGAGGCTCACCCAAGCGCATTCTCGTAGGCATAGAGGGACATGCGCACCATCTCCGTCTCCCCCTCCAGCTGCATATAGGGTGGGTGAGAGAGCAGATGTTAGGGGGATATAAAGCCGGACATATATGAGAATTCAAAAGAGGGACATGCGCACCATCTCCGTCTCCCCCTCCAGCTGCATGTGGTGTGGGGCACACGGACATCAGGGCAAACGCACGAGCAATGGCTGAGGAGGCAGTCGAAACGGTATCGGAAAAAGGGTCATGTATGGACGCCGTGCAGCAGGCAAGGGCTGTGAGTCCGCGTATGAGTTGACTAACCAGAAGAAAAGAGAACGAAAGAAAAACCACCAGAGTGAAGGGGAAGCAATGCGTGTCTCACAAGGGCAATGCGCGCGTCGAGAGAGATGGCGGTGGTGGTGGGCATGAGCTGCGAGGGCTGGAAGGACCAGCCTAGGTACTCTGAGAGCATTCCTCCTGACTCCACAGGGGCTAGATCAGGCAGCGTTCTGTGTGTGGAGAGGGGGGGGGGGAGGGGGAGGGGAGTTTTGAGGCGCCTCAAAAGGCTGGAAGGACCAGCCCAGGTACTCTGAGAGCATTCCTCCTGACTCCACAGGGGCTAGATCAGGCAGCGTTCTGTGTGGGGCGGGAGGGAGGGGATGGGAGAGACTGGATGAGGAGGAGAGGAAGTGAAGCGGAAGGAGAACAGGGAGAAGTTCCTAAACTTGGAGAAGGGCCAATGGAAGGAGAACAGGGAGAAGGGCCAATGGAAGGGGAGGCGATGGGGGGAGAAGGGAAGAAAAGAAAGAAGGGGGCCAAAGGGAGAGGAGCAAGGGTGTTAAGGGAAAGGAGAATAAAGGTCGACCTTACTTCCGTATATTCTTTGCAGAAATTGAGCAAGAGACTGTGCGCAAAGAAGGGCGTCTATTTTAGGCGCCTCAAAGGGAGAAAAGGGAGGGAAAGGCGGACCTGACTTCCACACAGCCCTTGCCAGAGATGAGCATGAGACAGGGCGCAAAGAAGGGAGTATTTGACTGAGGCGCATTGTAAAGAAAAGAAGAAGAAGAAAAGGGAGGGAAAGGCGGACCTGACTTCCACACAGCCCTTGCCAGAGATGAGCATGAGACAGGGCGCAAGGAAGGGAGTATTGACTGAGGCGCATTGTAAAGAAAAGAAGAAGAAGAAGAAAAGGGAGGGAAAGGCGGACCTGACTTCCACACAGCCCTTGCCAGAGATGAGCATGAGACAGGGCGCAAAGAAGGGAGTATTGACTGAGGCGCATTGTAAAGAAAAGAAGAAGAAGAAAAGGGAGGGAAAGGCGGACCTGACTTCCACACAGCCCTTGGCGGAAAGGGGCATGAGGCCGGCCGGGCACAAACAAGGGAGTCTGACTGAGGCGCCTTGGAAAAGAAGAAGAAAAGAAAAACCGCAAAGGCTGACCTGACTTCCACACAGCCCTTAGCGGAGAGGAGCATGAGGCCGGGCGCAAAGAAGGGCGTGACTCCAAACGACCCCATCCACCTGGCCTCCCTGTCGCCCTCCTCTGCGTCCTCAAACACCCGCACCTTCTTCAGCAGACTCACCGGCAGGCCCTGCGATAAGGGGAGGGGGTGGGAGGGGAAGAGAGAGGGGGTTGGTGGGGAGAAGAAGTTTCGACACATCTGAACACTCGACTGGCCTCCCTGTCGCCCTCCTCTGCATCCTCAAACACCCGCACCTTCCTCAGCCTACTCACCGGCAGGCCCTGCAAGAGCAGGGGGGAGGGAGAGCAGGGGCAGAGAGAAGAGGGGGGGGAGAGTGAGGAAGTGGGCAAGAAGGGGGGGAGGGAGGGTCGTGTTCCTTCCTTCACTGTATCACACTCGTGTGCTTCCTCGACTTCATCTACTATTACACCAGCCTCAGAAAGCAAGACTTCTAAGCAACGGAGGGATGGGGGAGTGATGAGAGAGAGGAGGGGGGGGGAGCGAAGAAGATGGAAAAAGGGTCCCACATCCCCTCGCTACTTTTCTCTGCTTTTCCACACCATTTCCTCCCCGTATCCTTGCACAACCCGCTCATCGCCGCCACACCCACCGCCACCCACCGCCACCCCCACCGCCACCCACCGCCACCTGCACCCCGTTCACATCCTCACCTTAACCCTCTCTGATTCATCCCACATACCTGAGGCAGGGTGGAAGCAGCGCAGAGAGCGAGGCACATGCGCGTAGCGAGCAGCACATAGTGCACTTCAGGAGCCACTGTGGGTATGCTCAGTGCCTCCAGCGACTCATACGGGTCAAACTCCTCCTCCTCCTCCCCCTCTTCCTCTGCCGCTACCGCCCCTTCTTCTGCCTCTGCTGCTGCTGCTGCTGCTTCTAGCTGCAGCTCTGCATTGCCACGACCAGCAGCAGCAGCAGCTGGAGTTGACTTCGAGTCCACTGCCTGGATAGCAGCCGCTGCAGCAGCAGTGGCGGCAGCACCACCAGCACCAGCAGGACCAGCAAAGCTCTGTGAAACAGCAGGAGACTCCAATCCACTCACACCCGCACCTGCACCCGCACCTGCACCCGCACCTGCACCCGCACCTGCACCCGCACCTGCACCCGCACCTGCACCTGCACCTGCAGCCGCCCCATCACTGCCTCCACCATCAATCACCCCGTGAGCACCTGCCTTCCCTGCTCCTGCTTTGCCACCTGCTGGTTGCGCGTGAACACTGAAACTCAAGCTACCCTTGGCGTTGATTCGGATGCCAATACGGTTCTTCAGCCCCCACCCAATCCCCGACTTGCCTGCCCCTGCCGCTGCCGCTCCCCCTACTCCTCCCTCGCCTGCTGCCACCCCAGGACCAGCGGCAGTAGGGGTAGAGCTTTCCTTGTCTGCCAAACCTCCCCCTTTGCCAACCCTTGGACTTGCCACAGCTCCCGGCCACTTTTGCCGGCCAGGAGGAGCCGGCAGAGCAGCCTTAGCAGCTGCTGCCGCCGCAGCTGCAGCAGCAGCAACCTTAGCCGGGGGTAGAGGAAGCAGATTCGGCGCTGCTGCTGGTGCTGCTGCTGGTGCTGCTCCGTCTGCCCCATCTGCCTCTGACGGGGTATTCGAAGCAATGGGAGAGGAGGCAGGGTCATGCGTGGCATCTGTAGCAGCAGCGGCAGCAGAAGGATCTTCAGGGTCTTGGGGCGTAGCAGGGAGGTCAGAGGATGGGGTGGTTGGAGCCGAAAGGGCCTTATCCTGCTGGCTCGAGTCTTCATCACCAGGTGCGTTCTCAGGTTGTTTTTCAGCTGGTTGGCTCGCCGTGCTGCTGCTGTCAGGACCGCCATCAGAAACCATGTCACTTCCATTGCGCCCATCACCATTACCCTCCTCCTCCCCATCCCCTCTATTAGCTTCTCCCATTACTCCATCTGCTCCGCCTTCCTGCCCCTCTGCTGTCAATCCATCGGGCCTTGAATCATGGGGAGTTGCAGAAGGGGACACAGCAACAGCAGAATCTTCAGTTGGGACCTGCGCCTTACCCACCTCCTGCCGTTCCCCCCCTTCCTCCACCTCACCCGCCTCCACCTCCTCCCCCTCCTGCTGCTGCTGCTGCTCTTGCTGTGGCACGCGCAATGGTCGCTTGCGGGAAGAGCGGGAGGATCGAACGTGGTCCAGACGTACAGGAGCAGCAAGGCGGGGCAGAGGAGAACCATCGGCATCTGAAATAGAACAGCAGGCGTGGGTTGACCATTGAGGCCAGGGGCGCGCATGAGTCGAGAGCGGTAAGGCCAGGGAGGGCCAGGGAGGGCCAGGGAGAGCCAGGGAGAGCCAGGAGGGTTAGGGAGGAAAGCGGGGAAAGAAGAGCAAGAGTTTGGTCGGGAGGGAAGGGAGGTTGGGAAGAGAGGCGAAGTGGGACCGGGAAGGATGTATTGAAAGGAGAGATGGAGGGTGGCTGTGATAGAATTCTATGTATAGCATGCTAAGTGTAAAGGGGTTGGGGCTACACCCAACTTTGGGTGTAGCTTGCTTTGTAGGCCTACACCCAACATTGGGGTGTAGACTTGCAAGTTGGGGTGCCAATCCAACCCAGTGGTGTTGGAGCCCCCAAGTGCAAGTTGGGTACCCCCTCTTTGCAACCCACAAGTTGGGTGCCCCCTCCTTGCAACCCCCATGGTCCTTGTTGCAAGTTGGATGCCCCCTCCTTGCAAGTTGGCATAGGGACTTGCCAACCAACCAACTCCCCCCTTCCCTTTCACAGGCTGAGCTGAGTAGCGCATGGGGTACTAGATCAAGCCAAGGACAATGAGAACACCTCTAAAAACGACACACACACATTCACACATTCACACACAAAGAGCAGCGTGACCCAGACCCACCCAGACCCAGTACTCCCGCACCCCTGCCACCCTCACATTCCCCATTCCTTCACTCACCCAGCAGCAGCATGGCGACAGCAGGCGAAGCCTCCCGGAGTTTCACCGGGCCTCGCAGCAGCAGCTGGCCTGTAACAGCATCCAGCACCACAAACGACGAGTCCGACGCCCCCACAAACACCCCGTGCCCGCCCCCGCTACCTCCCGGGCCCCACTCGCCCCCTCCCCCGCCCCCCCCGGCCCCCCTTCCAGACGACGACTCCGAGGGGGTCGACGCGGGAGAGAGAAGCCCGGGGAAGGTGGTAGAGTCGACACTCCGACCCGGGGTGGACGTGGAGTAAGACGCAGGTGTGTTGCTGCCGTCGCCGGTGCCGAGACCGGGAATGCTAGGGGCAGAGCTTCTAGAGGTTCCGGGAGTGAGGAGACTCATGGCACTGGCAGAAGCGAAGGCGGAGGGCAGGTGCGCGAAGGAGATGGAGGAGATGGCGAGAGGAGGGGCGTTCCAGGGGCGAGGCATGACGTACTGGAAGACGAGCTTGAAGGTGGTGAGGTCGATGAGAGACACCTGCGATGGGAGGGGGGAGAGAGGGTGCAAAGCGGGCGGGCAGCGTATACTTGAGTCAGCAAGTGAGATCATGAGAGTTCCAGGGGCGAGGCATGACGAACTGGAAGACGAGCTTGAAGGTGGTGAGGTCGATGAGAGAGACCTGCGAGGGGGGGAAGAGAGGGAGAGGAGCAAGCTGGCTAGATATGAGTGCTCCTCTCACGAGAGTCCCAGCGGTGTGGCATGACGCCCTGGGAGACAAGCCTAAAGGTAGTGAGGTCGATGAGAGAGGCCCGTGAGGGGGTTATAGAAGGAACGGAGTGGACGGGCGGGGTAGATCTGAGTCGGCAAGTCCGATTGGGGCAGTTCCAGGGGCGTGGTATGATGTGATGTGCTGAGACACGAGACAGAGACAGCTGTGAAGGAGTGACAGGGAGCGGGATCGTTGGGAGAGTAGGTGATTTTCGAGTGGTGAATTGTGAAAATTATTTTAAGGTTCCGTGGCACTGAGTGGGGTAGACGATACAAATGACAGGTCACTGACGGGCCATGCTAGAAGTTACAGGACAAGCAGAGAGGCGAACTAACACAGAGCAGGCAGAAGGGAAGCAGCATCGAGGGCTGGATAAATGCATGTGCTTGGGGGGTGGGGGGGTGTGAGGATGGGCGGGGGAGGGGGGGAGGGACAGGAGTAAGCAGAAAAGCAGAGAGGGATGAGGAGAGAAACTCAGATTGCAGAGAGTGAAGCAGCCAGAGGGAGAGTCGAGAAACAGGAGGATGGGCGCAGAGGGGCGGGGATTTGCAGAAGGGCAGGGATGGGTGGAAGAGCAGGGTAGACAGGAGGGGGCGGAGAGAAGGAAACGAAGGCGAGGGAACTCACGCCTGCTCGGTCGTCTCCAACAGCGAGGCGGGCAATGGAGGTGGCGAGGGCGACGGCACGGATGGCGCTGGCATGGATTCGGAACTGCGCCACACACTGGAACCCCGGCGCTGCCTCCTGCGCCGCCGCTGGTGAAGGGATGAATGGGAAGGGACGGGGCGGGACGGGAAGGGCAAGGAGAGGTACAGAGGGAAGAGGAAGCAAAGGAGGGGGATGATGGCGCTGGCATGGATTCGGAACTGCGCCACACAAGGCCAGCGCTGCCTCCTGCGCCACCGCTGGGGTGTGCAGGGAGGGAGGGGAGGGAAGGGAAGGCGGGGAAGGGATGGAGAGGGGAAGAAGGGGAAGGGAAGGTGTGGAGGAGTGCACCCACAACACGCACCCCAAAACGGCACCCACCCACCCACCCACCCACACACACACACACCTTGCCACGCCGTACCACCTTCCCACACACACACTGCTCCCTCCTCCAGCTCAACCTGAACCTGCCTTACTCGCAAAGGAATCCAGGAATTCGATCAGCAGTGAAGACCCACACCCACACCCACACCCACACCCACACCTTTCTAATGGACACCAACCACCCACCTCACACAGCCCCTCCGCCCGTAGCCTCCCCAGCGCACCTTTTGCTTCCGCCAACGTCCTCATCACAGCGCTGCCTCCCGTGCACTGCCATCCTGAACGTCAATGGCAGTGCCATCCTCTGCAGCCTTGAGCGGGGCGTCCACCTCCGTGGCCTCTCGCACCGTCCCACCTTCTAGTGCCTACCCTCCACCGACCCCCCTTTCTAGCGCACAACCCCCCCATTTGTACCACTCACTGCAATTGCACACGTGTTACACTCCTATTCCTTCAACTCTGGACTTCCTCCACCTGTCCCCACCCCACAAAAGTCCTCCCAAGTCATTCAAGGCACGAAACCTGTGTTTCGTCCTTCTCACGTGAGTCCCCCACGTCCTGCCCACGGTCACCCTAGCACGCGGCTGCTGCATGTCGCTGCCTCCCGTGCACTTCACGCTGGCTGCCGCGCCCCCACCAACCCACCTTTCTTGTACACAAAGCCGTCCTGAACGTCAATGGCAGTGCCGTCCTCTGCAGCCTTGAGAGGCGCATCCACCTCCGTGGCCTCTCGCACCGTCCACACCCACACGCGGCTGGGCGTGGCGCTCAGCACAAATAGCTGCACCAGCCCGTCTCCATGCCCCACTGATAGCAGCCCGGATGCCGGACAGAAGTCCAGTGCTGTCACCGGCTCGTACGGCTCCATCTGTGTGGGGGGGAGGGGGCCCATGGGGGAGAGGACACAGAGGGGGAGGGTACAAGGGGGCTGGGAGTGGCGCTGAGCACAAACAGCTGCATCAGCCCGTCGCCATGCCCCACTGCTAGCAGCCCGGATGCTGGACAGAAGTCCAGTGCTGTCACTGGCTCGTAGGGCTCCATCTGTGAGCGCAAGAGGCAGAGGGGGATGGGGGAGAAGGCACGGGGGGAGAGGGCATAGGGCATAGGGGAGAGGGAGGCATGGGGGCGAGCGTGGAGGGGGGTGACAAACAGCTGTACTGCGCGAGCCTGTTGCCATGGCCCACTGCCAGCAACCCTAAACTAGCTGCACTGCACAAGCACTGTCGCCAGCTCGTAGGGTTACATCTGTGTGCGCGGGGGGGGGCTGGGGAGGGAGGTATTGGAGGGAACGCGGAGGAGGGCAGAATGGCAGGTTCATGGGGAAGGGAACGGAGGGCGGGGAGGAATGACAGGGGGGAGGGGAATAAACGGGGGGGAGAGAGGGTACAGAGAATAGGACAGTACAAGACAGGACAGGGTAGTAAGAAGACAAGAAGCCCATACCGCAACTCTCTCTCTCTCTCAAGCGGTCCTTCATTGATGGGTTTATAAGGGTACAGGCATGGTAAGGCAGGTGCTAGATGGTCCTAGGCATGCAAGGGAGTCTACTATCAACTTCCGGACTGATGGTCCTGCAACTCTCTCTCTCTCTCTCTCTCTCTCTCTCTCTCTCTCTCTCTCACACACACACACACACACACACACACACACACACACACACACACACACGCACGCAGGCAATCACGCACCGGGAAGCCAATGGGTATGGCGGAGACGAGCGGCGCAAGGAGCGGCGTGGAGACATCGGAGATATGCACGAGGCCGTTGTGATGGCCCGACACAAAGAGGCAGAGGCCCAGGTCCGCTATGAGCTCCGTTGACTCCGCCATGCTTCCTCCGGACACTGGCCACTCCGTGCCGTGCGATAGGTGCGCTGGACAGCGCGAGCCTGAGGAGCGCGGCAGCTGAACGGGGGAGGAGGGGAGGGAAGGGGGGAAGGGAGTGGGGGAGGGAAGGTGGGAGGGAAAGGGGGAAAGAGAATGCGGATGACGGGCTGGCGAGGATAGCAGGGGGCAGGGTACAGAAGGAGGGGAGAAGGGTTATGAGGGGGGGAGGACATGGGATGCAAAGAGGCAGAGGCCCAGGTCCGCTATGAGCTCTGTTGACTCCGCCATGCTTCCCCCTGCCACTGGCCACTCCGTGCCGTGGGATAGGTGCGCTGGACAGCGCGAGCCTGAGGAGCGCGGCAGCTGCATGGGGGAGTGAGGGGAGTGTGGGATGGGAAGGGCGCCGAGGAAACAAGGTGTGAGAGGGTGAAAGCAGCTGCATTGAGAGGGGTGGGACGCGGAGGAGTAAGGAGACAAGAGGGGGCAAGTGGGGGCAAGAGGGGTGGGCAGAAGGGCCGGGAGGGGGCAGGAGGGGGCAAGTGGTGAGGAAGTAAAGGAAGTAAAGGGAAGGGAAGTGTGACGAGAGGCACAAGGAGGAAAGGAGAAGCGAGAAATGCGCACCCGGAGCAGCACTTGAGCAGCGATGGAGTGGGGCTCAGCAATGGTCATGATGGCTGCAGTGGCGACTGAGTTGGGGCACTCAAACAGCATCGGCTCAGGAAGCCGCACCGCCCCCACACTCCCTGACGACGGGAACCCTGCTCCTCCCGCCCCCACCCCTCCCCCACCACCACCACCACTATCAGCAGCAGCAGCTGCTGCTGCTGAAGCCGGCGCTGGCACTCCTGCTCCAGCCACAGCAGCACCAGCAGCAGCAGGAGGAGCAGACAGGCCAGAAAAGAACAGCTCGATCCCATACTCGTCGTAAAGGTGCACTTGCCCCGGGATAGTGAGCACCATGAGGGCTGCTCCCGGCTTCTTGCCAGCCTCCTTGGGGCGGGGCTTGGCCGGCACGTCTGGTGCTACGAGGATGTCTGCTACTGGGCCGAACCACGGCAGCTTTGTTCCTGATAGCTCTGGTAGGCCCGAGGGGAGAGAGCCCAGTGCTACGACCTGCAAGGAAGGAGGATGCAGAGGGAAGATGCAGAAAAGAAGGGCTTTTGAGACGCCTCAAAAGTCGTATCTTAACCCACGTCTGGAGCTAACAGGATGTCTGCTACAGGGCCGAACCACGGCAGCTTTGTTCCTGATAACTCTGGTAGGCCCGAGGGGAGAGAGCCCAGCGCCACCACCTGTGGGAGGGAGGGCGCAGAGGGAGGACGAAGAGGGAGGAGGTTTTGGCTTGAAAGCTGCTGCTGTTGAGCTTGGATACAGGGTGCCAGGAGGATGTCTGCTACAGGGCCGAACCACGGCAGCTTTGTTCCTGATAACTCTGGTAGGCCCGAGGGGAGAGAGCCCAGCGCCACCACCTGTGGGAGGGAGGGCGCAGAGGGAGCAGGTTTGTTAACGGCTGCAGGTATGTTGAGTCTGGTCTGGACGCATGGTGCAAGACAAGACAGGGTTGGAGAGCTGTGAAGGACAACAAGTGAGAACTGCTCACAGCGAAACGGCCAACAGGGGCAACATGCAGAACACGCAGAACACACAGGCAGGCACTGCAAGCCAGCCTTCCCTTCCAAGCAGCAGTGTGTATGAAGACGAGACAGTCTCACGCACCGCAAGGCGGGCGACCCTCAACCTCCCATCCCATACACCCTCCCTCCCCTAAGCGCACCAATCCACATCCCTCACCTCACACACCCCTCCCAACTCACATAGACAGTCTCTGGTGCGCCCAGCACATCGCCCCCAAACACATACAGTCGCCCGCCGCCCGCATATCCGCCCTTGCTGGCCTTCTTCCCCCACGAGTCGCTGTCACAGCACCACCTCAGGATCGTCACAGGCAACCGCTCAGCCTTGCCCCTTGCCACAAACACCTTTCTCAGCGGCCTCCCCAGCACTTCTGCTCGCGTATCTGCTAGTAGCGCGGCTGGTATAGGCTCTCCTACCCCCCCGCCACCAGTGCCACCCGTTCCCCCTCCGCTACCGCCGCCGCCGCTGCTGCCAGAACCGCCTGCTGCTGCTGCAGCAGCAGCAGGGCCAGTGATGCCAGTGGCACCGGTGCTGCTGCTGCTGGATAGTACAGGGAAACCCCATAGGGCCACGTCTCCGTCTGTATACCCCACTGCTGCCACTGCCCCCTGCTGACAAGCCCAGCACACGCTGCACACCTCCTTCCCTTCCACATCCTCCCCCTCTAGCGCCCTCTCCCTCTCCCTCTCATCCATCACCCCGCCCCCCTTCCCCCCGTCGCCTCCTCCCCCAGCTCCCCCTGCTCCTTTCCCGCCCTTCTTTCCTTTCTTCCCCTCTGCTGCGGCGGCCTCAGCTGCAGCGGCGGCAGCAGCGGCGGCGGCGGCAGCAGATGCATCGAGGAAGGCGGTGCGTTGGGCTCGAGTGCCTCCCCGGATGGCCACTGGTTGCAGGTAGTGCAGGTCCCACAGCACTAGCAGGCCGTTTGAATACGCTAGTAGCACTCTGTGGAGATGGAAGAGGAGCCGGGGGGAAAGGGAGTGGGGGGGAAAGGGGAGTGGGGGGGAAAGGGGAGTGGGGGGGAAAGGGGAGTGGGGGGGAAAGGGGAGTGGGGGGGAAAGGGGAGTGGGGGGGGAAAGGGGAGCGGGGGGGAAAGGGGAGTGGGGGGGAAAGGGGAGTGGGGGGGGAAAGGGGAGCGGGGGGGAAAGGGGAGCGAGCGGGGGGGAAAGGGGAACAGGGGGGGGAAGGGGAGCCGGGGGTGGTGGGTGGAGGGGAGAAGAGAAACAGTTTAGAGAAACGTCTCAGAGCACGAGCAGGCAATTGAATACGCCAGTAGCACTCTGGATACACGATTAGTGTGAGGGGGATAGGGAGGAGAAGGAAGGGAAAAGAGGAGGTGACGGGGGAGGGGAGGAGAGGAAGAGTCGCATGAGGTGCTTTAAATCCACGGGAAGAGTCCCAGAGCACGATGTTTTGAGACGTCTCAAAACACGCTTACTCTCCCGCGGATTTTATATGGAGAAATTGTTTGTTGCTTGGAAAACAGGTTGTAACTTGCAAAAGTTACTTGTTCGTGCGAGGCTTCCGAAACACCAGCTGGCGAGTTGTGATTCAACAACGTTACACCTCGAGGAGTGAAGACCTCAGCCCCTCGGTTTTTTCCAGGGTGTTGTGGATTGGCTGCCCAGATTTCAGCCACGGTTGTACCCAACCTCGATTGTTTCTTGATGGGTAGTTCTTGCTTAAGGGTTGCTCTTTCTGCTCTAGTTTCTTATTCCGCTAGCACTGATGAAGGATTGACGGGGGTCTGTCCCAGTCGTCCGAAACATGTTTGCGTTTTAATCGTTGTAGTGGACTTAGAGCTCAGTTTCGATCTTGTTTTTTGAACTGGCAACACAAGAGTTTTAAACTCTACTGTTTTTCTTCTGCTAAAGAATTCTCCTAAGCTGCAGCTCGCCTAGTCTCATGGCTGAGAGCACGATCATGGCGTATAGGTGGAGAGAGGGGGTGCAGCAGACAAGGCAAGGCAAGGCACAGCAAGGCAAGGCAAGACAAGGCAGTACCTGTTATGTGGTGCAGAGGGCTGGGGAAGAATCGCAATGAGGGGGGCAGGGGCATCCAATGCACTCGAGGAGATGAGAGGGCCTGCACACACACACACACACACACACACACACACAGAGTAGAGTGGATGAGGGGAAGGATGAGGCGATTGGGGGAGAGGAAGGCTGCATGGTATGATGCAACGAGAGTGATCTGTTTGGGGGGGGGGGAGAAAGGAAGAAGGTAAGTCGGGGGGAAACAGTACGGCCAGTTGTCACCGTTGCCTGGTTATGAGAGTTGCCAAGTTTCGAGCGTTGTCTAGTTTTCCATCTATGGTACCATCGCCAAGTTCTGGGTTCTGAAGAATTGCCTACTTCCGACTCATCTACTCATCTACCCATGAGACGTCAGTGTTGAGAGCGGCATGACTCACCGAGGGTGGCAGTGATGGGCACACGGTACGGCTTGATGGAGAGTTCGCCTGCAGGGCCGTCGCTGCCGCCTTTGGCCGCTCTGCCTGGCTTGTCATTTGGTGTATACTCCAGCACATTCATCGCCCCCTCCTCGTCGCCTATATAGCTGCATTAAAACCCACACAGGGCGGCACGAGAAGCAGATTGACCACGCCAGAGCACCTATGTGGACGAATTACGTTAAGTAGCTGATCTAGTTTGCTCTTTGTCACGGAATGATATAATTGGCTGATCGGAATAACTTGTAACGGGATCAATTAGCTTTAGAGAGTGAATGAAAACAAACTGTGATGAGCAACGGTAGTGGGGGGGGAGCAGAATAGGGAGGGGATGTGTGTGTGAATGGATTGGGTGGGGGATGCAGCGAGAGGAGCAGGCAGGGGCATTGGGGCGGGGCTTCAGTGCCTTCCTCTCATCCTTCCCTCTCCGCTCAAATCCCCCCCTGCATTACTCCCCTTCTGCTCTGCCCGTCTAACCACAACACTCCCTTCCGCTCCCCCCTGCCCCCCCATCCCCTCTCTCTTCCTCTTCCCTCCCCACCCGCCCCCTGCTCCCCCTACTCCACCAGTTCCCCCCTCTTCTTTTCTTCCCTCCCCCATCCCCTCCCCCCGCCCCCCCTGCCGGCGCACGGACATGAAATGAGAGCTGGGGGCAACTGCGAGAGAAGTGACGTCCGCCGTCCACTTGAGAGACGCGCCCAGCTGCTTCCGCGACAGGTCCCACACCTGCACGCGGGGCGGAAAGGGGGGGGAATGGGAGGGGGGACGGGGACGGGGAGGAGAGGGCGGCGTGGCGGTTGGGAAAGGTGGGGGAGGGGGTCATGGGGAAGAGGGGCACGAGCGGGAGGGGATGGGGGAAAGGGGAGAAGGGGGAACGCGGGGAAAACGCAGAAGAAGAGGGGGGGTGGAGGGAGGGCGAAGATGAAGCAGAGAATGGGTAAGAGGGGCGGGGGATGAGGAGGGAGGAGATGATTGGGGGGGGAGGGGGGGGGGGGGGTAGATACACATGTTTGCTGGCCTGCAGTCAGGGTGATCAGTTGTCACACAAAAGACGTTCACAATAGACCCAAGAGCGCAGCAGGCAGGGCCAGAACTGTTGTGATTGACAGCAGGCAGCGCAGCAATAGAAAAGGTGCTTGGGTGCTTGTATGCGGCGGGTGCACTTGCCTCGATGTGTTCTCTGCGTTAACCATGACTAGCAGACCACGGTTCACCATGTTTGAGGCGCCGCAAAACGAGAGGCAAAATCTAGAAGGCTCCTTAAAAGAGTGCACTTGCCTCGATGTCATTCTCTGTGTTGACCAGGACTAGCAGACCACGGTTCACCATGAACTGTGCACGGAAGGCAGAGGGAGGAGAGTACAGAGACATCTTTCGGGATGGTAGAGCAAGGAGGACAGAGGGAAAGACCAGGGTGGAGGAGGGAAGAGCGGTGGCAGCAGGGGGGTGAGAATGCGGGCAGTGGACAGGTGGAAAGTGGGAGGTGGGTGGGGTCAGGGACGATAGAAGGGCATGTGAAGGGAGGAAGCAGGTAGGGATGGGATGGGGTGATGGCGGGACGTCAGCAAGGAGGAACGGAAGGAGACGAGGCAGGCTATTGCACGCGGAAAAGTGAGATCGGGGGAGAGTGAGGGAGAAGGAGAGGGAGAGGGAGAGGGAGAGAGTGTGTACATGAGGGAGGTGCGCGCGAAAGAGAGCACCTCAAGGAACTTGCAGTGGGCGCGGGAGGGCGAGGTGAAGAGCACTTCAATGCCGTCGCGCCCATACACCTTGAACCGCCCGTCGCTGCTCGCACCACTCCCCGTGGAATGGGTGGATCGAGGATGGGAGAAAGGGGGGGAACGGGGGAAGGTGGGGACGGCGGATGGGGGAAAGGGGGGGGACGGGGGAAGGCGGGGACGGCGGGAAAGGGGAAAACGGGGAAGGGGGAAAGGGGAAGGGGGAAGGGGAAAGGGGAAAGGGGAAGAGGGAAAGGGGAAGGGGGGATGACAGTAGGGGAACGGGACATGAGTTTCAGCAGCAGCATGTATGCAAGTGCACCAACGAGGAGGCCTGTAACTGGCAGTGGCAAGCACTGGGAAGCAACGGACAGCAACGGCAACAGCAGTGGCAAGTGGTGCCATGGCAGCAGACGGTAAGCAATGGCGAGCGGTGGCGAGGAAGACACATCCACCATTCGCGCCTCTTATGGTCATTCTTTTCCTTGCCCCCAGCACCCCCTGATTGCTTCCCATCCAGTGTCCTTCCCCGCCCTCTGTTCTCCCAAATTCCACTTCTTTTGCCTTCCCTCTCCACTCCCGATGCCCATCCAGCCTGCAATTCGAAACCCTTTCCCTTTACCCGCTGCTCTTTCCCTACTCCTGCTTCCCCCCTTCCTCCTCCCTCCGCACCCGGCCTTCATTTCCCTTCCCCAACAAGCCAACGAGCGCACCTAATACCGGTAGCCGTACCGCGTGGCCATGGCGAGCAGTCGCTGCAGCGGGTCGAAGGCGAGGTGCGTCGTCGAGCACGGCACGCCGTGATGCACGGCCACGCGCGGCTCCAGCTGCGACGGCTTCAGCGAGCCGGCCGGCACGGTCAGGGCGGCAGCCTTGAGACGGCGAGAGAGAGGAGCGAGACCGGGTGAGGGGAGGGACGCGCGAGAGAGTGAGGATAGGGCGGGGATGGGAAGGTGGGGAGGTGAACGAGGTTGTTTGTTAGGGATGCAAGAAAAATAATAGGAAAAACTTGCACTTCTAGCTCTTCTTTTCGGGTGTATTACAGTTTCACATCGTGAAATGGATGTCGAATTCCTTAAGAGAAGACTGATCAACGCATCAAGACACACCTCATTGACCTCGTCAACGGGACCGGAGGCGCCAGGAATTACCGCCGCGCCACCGACCGTGGCGGCGGCCGCTCCGAGAAGCCTCGCGAACATTGCAACGTGGCTGGCAGGCCGTTATGGTTGTGGATAGATGGTGCGTGGTCGATGTACTGGCTTCGGAGACGATACGACAGGAGGAGCCGTACGGAATGGGTGACGTCGAAGCGGGAGGGGACGTGATTAAACTAAAGACTAAATGCGTGACCTACGACATGGCAGTAAGCGAATCTTCTATATCACACAAGACGGGAGCGAAACTCGTCACAATTATCGCTCTTGAACACGGAAGATAACCGAATTTGAATTGTAAGGGCGCGTAACCATTTTGCATTTTACGATTTTGACGGACAGTCCGCTTAAAACGAAGTGGACGGTCCACCTATCGAGAACGGGACCGTCCGACTGACTTTTTTGCATGTCCGAAGACAGTTGTGACACTTTTTTCATAATGTACAGTTTCGCGATCACTGTACAAGCGTTACGCAATTCTCTCAAGCTCGCAAATGTCGTTATCGAATCATTTTTGTTTATGGGTTGTCTCTGGTTGGTCAATGTCGATTCGTGAAGTAGCCTCGTACGTTTTTGTTGGTGGACGAGGTGACTCGACAGTTTTTGCGTCGCCCTCCAATCGTGTGTCGGACAGTCCGTTTGGGATTCGGACCGTCCACGGCTCAGATTTCGGACCGTTGAAGTGGGAAAAAGTGTCACTACAGTCCGTTTTGTTGGCGATGTCGCCAACACCTCAGCGAACATGATTGCGACATTGTGCGAAGCTTGTTACCGTTTCGCTAACCGGACGGTCCACGGTTCGAACCGTCGGGTGCAAAATGGTTACGCGCCCTAAAAGAGCAGGTGTGGTTGTGGCACTCCCAGGGATCTGATGTGTGGTCTGCGGAAATCCCGAGGTAAAACGGTAGGGTTGCTCAAAACCATCAGGGCCCAGTTCGGCAGGCATTAAAAAAACGGTTCCCCGGTTAGGCTACAGTAAACCGACCACCCTGGAACCTTCTTTGATAAGCGCGTAAAAGGTTATCTAGGCTCGATATAAGCGGATCATCGCCGAACCAGACAATAATGGAATGCCAGCCGAACACCCCCTTTGACGCTGGCATTTTCTACCAGAGGAATCTTCCTCAAACCCTATTTCCCAGGCAAATGGTCCATTTTCTGATACGCCGCACCATACTGCCTCGAGACCCCCCCCCACACGGGGTATCAGTGATTCGGGGCAATCACACATTGCCCTGACAAAAACAAATCCCGGTCTTTCATGCCCCTCATTTTGCCCGCTGGGAAATCGCACATCACCAACACACCTTCACTAACACATCGAACGCACAGATTCTCTTGCCCGAATTTTTTCGACGTCCACCACTGGTTTGCATGGCTGCCCGTGCTGCCAGTACAGTAATTCTGAGCTCCATCAGCGCAGCTGCATGCGAGCTCCTGCGAAGTGTCATTTTCTGTTGATGCCGTTAATCCAGGCCCATTTAATGCCAACCGAACAGTCGGGCCCATTCTTCCGAAGTTAAACTGCAGCTACAGTCTGACTTCGCAGCTGTTTCGAGGGGCCATTTTTTGGGGGCCCGTTAAAAATGCCCAAAATGGCCATAATGGCCATAATGCCTGCCGAACTGGGCCCAGAGTTGGAGATCGCCAGGCTGAATCCATTCCGAACGAGAGCAACAAAGCACCTGAAACTCGCACAGTCAGCAGCAGACCTACCGAACCTCGCCACTCGGTTCGGACCGGGCAGTTTGCGTTGCGACGCTTGGCCACGTGGTGAGCATTGGCTGGACATTGGGGAGTTTTGGGCTGCTTTTCCAACCAGTTTCTTGCCTCCGCCTGGTTGGTTTACCGACCAAGACGAGGTTGGAGGTTGTATATTGATCGTAATCAGATACAAGGTTGAACAAAGCAAATTGAACATGGCAAACAAGCCAACCCCCTATAAGAAGGTGCGCAAAACCTACGCTATTCAACTGTCCCGTAGAACAGCCTCCTGGAGAGAGGTTTGCTCTGTACATACGATAAGAAGAAAAATTAAGGTCTAAAAGAATCGTTGAGCAGCCAAGAAACTCTTAAGTCAGGATGAATGCGCGGCGTGCCATCAAACGACATGTCAATGAAGCGAAGTTTTGTGGCCCGAGAGATGCAAGAAGCTGAGCGACGCTGCTTTTTGGCAGATTGTCTGGAGCTGCGCCAAAGGAAAATTTGAAAGGCGAGGAGGAACTGAGTGAGAATGAGCTGGAGCGTCTCGAAAGAGGTGGTGGAGGCGTCGCGATATCTACGATCGCACCGATTATTCCATATAACCTTTGCCGCAGCACCAACGAGAAGACTCCAAGGGACAGTTTGGCCAACCCTTGAAGCGAGAGGGGAGTAGACTTGTTCAGTGGAGAGATGAAATCCGAGGTGGCGACGAGCAACTGAACGCAAGGCTAAAGTCGCAGGCACAGCTACCGGGCATTCAAAGAAGAGGTGCGAGAGCGATTCCAACGAACCAGTCCGACAGGAGGAGCAAATACCCCGATCGGCCGCGAAGGTGAAACGGGACCCCCTTGGTAGGGAGCGAATGTAGAAGCGGAACATCACATCCCTTTGTAAGCTCGGCTGGTCACGAAGGAAGGTGTGGGAGAGGTCAGGAAGGAGAGGAGGAGGAGGACCAGAGAGAGCCGCTGTCCACCGAGTATCATGATCAAGAGGCTGCCGCTGGTAAAGAAGGCGTCGGATGGCTGAGGGTGAAGGGATTCCCATCAGAGAGTATCTCCAGACGCGCTCCAAGCCCTGCACCTTCATGAAGAGGCCCAAACAGCCGGCGTCCCTGTACATGTGCGAACATAACATGCGCGATATCAAATGTGGAAATACAGATTATTTCTTTTTGAATGATAGAATCCTTGGATACTTGAAAGATGCGTGCGGTGAGCTGACAAGGTGGGGAGAAAGAGACAGCTTCAAACGCAAGGGGGGGTAGCGTTAGGGAGGCATTAACAGGGATAAACCAATCCCCGACTGCTACCTGGGGTGGAGGGGGGTCGGAGAGTAAAAGTTTCCACTCACGAGGAATGGCTTCAATGATCTCATGAAGGAGTTTACGACCAGCAGGGTAGTCAGAAGGTGGACAGTGTTCAATGAACTCCTCTTCAGTAATGGGGCGAGCAGCAGAGGAGGTAGAGCGGAAAATATGCCCTATCCTTAGTTGAAGGGAGAGGAGAAAGTGTTCTCCTTTAAGGGTTCCGAAAGGGATCTTGTTGGGCTTGAGAATTGAGCGGTTGAAAGCAATAGGTTCATTGAGAATACAGCGCGGATCAAGTCGGGGGGGGGGGGAGGACAGTAGGTTTGAGAGAAAGGAGCGCAGAGAGTTCATCCCGGATTCGCGGGGGAGTGGAGGGGGGCAGAATACCTGGACGAAGAATGGCGTCATGAGCAAGGAAAGCGTGAGGCCCGTAAGGCAAAGGGATGCACGTGCGGGCTACAGACTCCGCGGAGGAGGCGCCAAAGCGGCGTAGGGCACGCTGTATCGAAAGGGCTCGTATCTGAGTGGAGGGGGCCGTTGCACCTAAACCACCATGTTTAACCTGGTTTACAGGATTCGTTTAGGGATTAGTTGCGTCGTACGACCTTGTTCTTTGAACTTTGACGCTCCAAGGAAGGTATTTATTGTGCGGTCAAGAGCTTTGCAAATCACTGCAGGAGCCGGTTGAAAGCGCGCAGGGAAGGAAATCACGAAACTAAGGTATGTAGAACATAGATATTTCCTACACATGGCAGTGGCGTGCAGTGTGGCAAGAAACTTAGCGATGCGTTGGACACGGGCAAGGGTTGTAGTCTAGGTGGTGTGCCCCGGGGAACCAAGTTCTACGAAGATCCCAGTATACGTTCGGCTTCATGTGGGAGGCGGATCGGGATTTGGCCTGCTGCAGTGATAAGAGAGGATGGGATATTAAAAGGGATAATTGAGCATTTTTCCCAGTTAGGATATTCACCCGATACAGTGGCAAACTGGGCGAGGAGGGCAAGAGAAAGGGCAAGTTCAGAATTAGAATTAAGGAACATTGTAATATCATCAGCATAGCATGCCATGAGACGGCGTTGTGTCGCTGAGAGGGCGAACCCAGGGAGGGAGAGGGAGGTGTAACGATGGAAGACTTCGATCATACAAATGAACAAGAGTGGTGCCAGAGGGCATCCCTGTCGAACGCCAGTGTTTACTGGGAAGACTGGGCCTTCGTTGTTATTGACTGAGATGCACGTGGATGTGCCTGTATGCATAAGGCGGACCCAGTGGATGAAGGCCTCGGGCACACCCAAATGTGCAAGGCATTGGAGAAGGAATAGACAATCCACCGAATCGTAGGCCTTGCGAAGGTCAACCGTGAGGACTAGGAGGGGTGCATTGGTGAACAAGGCCCAGTCCATAATGTCAAGAGTATCATTGATGGTATCCCCAATTTTCCGGTGCTGAATGAACGCCGTTTGGGAAGGGTGAATCATACACCGGAGGGCTTTTTGGAGTCTGTTGGCAAGGCACAGCGCGAGAATTTTGTAATCGGCATTCATGAGAGTGATTGGGCGGAGGTTATCTGGCCGAGAGGAGTCGCCTTTTTTGGGAATGAGGACTGTGCGGCCACGGAGCATGGAAGGAGGCAGGGATGTAAATGGGACCTCTGGGTTGAAGAGCGAGTGGAAGGCTGGGGCAAATCTGGGCTTGTAGTGTTTGTAAAGCTCTCCGGGGAGGCCGTCAGGGCCTGGGGTTTTCCCTCGTGCGAGTTGGGAGATGGCTGTTCCAACCTCTAGGCGAGAGATAGGGCCGGCAAGACGGGTGAGGAGAGAGGAGGGAAGATGTGTGCGGGGAATATGTTGCCAAAAGGAGGCGTCCCTCGAAATTGAGGTGCGACCGCTGTAGAGTGATTTGAAAAAATTGGTGCAAGTCATGGTCATTGTTGGCAGGTCCGATGTTGCTTGTCCATTCGGCATGGTGATAGACGAGATGAGAGAGGCTTTGGTGCGTGAGCCAAAACCTACTAAAAGTGAGGAGAGCCCCATTTCTC